CACACACACTGAAAGAGGCTTCTAAGGGGCCATATCATGGAAAACAGGATTTTCTTGCTCTTTGATGCAACTAAACGTTTACTAGTGCTGTGTTTGATACATCGATACGACAATGTATCATCACAGAGATTTTGACGATACGAGTATCGATACAGCTGGCCCTGTTCACACTTGCGCAATATGGAAATATTTGCTAAGTGTGTTACTTATCTTTGTCAACCTGTCAACCCTGTGCACGTGCTCTCTCTCCACTGTGGATAAACGCGCTTGCTTTCTGAAAACACTGGTTAGCTTGCAGTTTAGCGATCTCCACTTCAATATTCTATTCTCAGAAATTGCGGGGCAGCGCTAAAAAGTTTGCTCCTGAATGTCTGAGTGCAGCTGCAGCGTGATCTGTGTGAGTGACTGAGCGTGTGTGTGTTAGATACAGAAGACGGCACATTGGTTTAGAACTCTTCTAATTTTTATTTTTTTTAAACGTAGACAGTGTGTTAACTTGTGCAATGATAACCTACCAGCAAAGTAAATAGGATTTTTTAATATATTAGAATGCGTACATTACAATATAAATGTATTAAATGAGTACATTATTATTTATGGGCTTAAAAACAAGATGCAAACAATCAGAATATTGTACCTGGTGGGGAGTGCCCAATGTAAACATGAAGCATATGCCATTATTGTACTGTGGTACAGTTATGGAGGCCCTTTCATAATGCAGAGGTCAACTGCCTGTTCTGCCAATAGTTAGAAATGGCCATATAGTATGCAGTGTTTAATAAACAGCTGTTTTACTAAATTCTGCTGAGGTGAAATTCAGTGCAGTCCCGTATCGTATTGTGACTTTGCTGGTGATACACAGCCCTAACGTTTACATAAAAAAGAAAAGATTTCAACCATGATCACAATTTCTGCTTGTCTCGATTATTTAAGCATAATTGTCTGTGATATTTGCGATATATCCAAACATGAATCTCTACTACATCATTTTATTGTAAGAATTTTTGTAATATATTATGAATTTCACTGTTTTAGCTCCAGAGAGACACTTCTTAAGGTTTTACCAGTTTTCATGACATAGTTTTTTTTAATGTAAATTATAAATATAATGAATCAGGAAACTACATTAAAGTCAAATAAATCCTGCTTATGAATTGACATTTTCCTTCTCTGTGCTTACATGAAAGTGCAATAATGCTACTTAAATGTAAAAAAATAAATGTCTCAAATCAAAACAATCATGATTAAAAACTGTTATATTTTTGAGCAAAATAATTGTGATTATTAGTGATTACTTTTTAAAGAAAATCTTTTTTATATTTTATTTTATTTATAATGTTTCATTTTTATTTTATATAAATTATTTTATATTATATTTTTTTTAACCACCACTCAAAAATTAATTGCAAAAATTAAATGCGATTAATTGCACAGCCCTACTTATTATTTCACTGTTATGATGACGTAACTATCATTCATTATCACATTTACTAATCAACTCTTTTTCAGTCCATCTAGGAAAACTATGGCAGTATGCGGAGGTTAACTAATCATAACAAATGCTATTTATGCATCAATTAACAGTAATATGGCAAAAAAAGTCAGCTTAATACTAATGGTCAGCAAGAAAGCTGTTCAAGAAACTTTGTCTAACATTATAATTAGACTAATAAACCCCTCAGACTGCATGTGCTCACAGGTCAGGGTGTGTGTGTGATGACCAGCAGATGTCTAGAAGCTTCAGCTCTATTGATTGGTGGGGAGGGTCTCTGTCCATTGTATTAAAAGCCATTCTGACCTGAACTTGTACCTTGTACACCAAACCCTTTCCAGTAACATTGTTTTTTTTTCTTCAGAAAACCTGTATTTAAAAAAAAAAAATATTTAATTGTATTTTTTATTTAATTTTATTATTTAATTTAATATAATTTTTATTTTGTTTTGTGTTTTATTTCATTTAAATGTATGATTATTTTATACATAGTTTATTTTATAACCACTACTGAAGGACCACTCCACTACACAAATATTTTTATGATTTTTAAATGTATAAAATATTAATTGTAAACCAAAACGTTAAACAAAATATTATTATATATCTAATATTATAATATTAGGCTACAGACATTATTACTACCATAAGTTATTTAAACACATATTTAAAATAGATGTGTAAAAAGACTGTAAAATAAGATGCTTGAAACAGATGCAAAGGGCAAACCGAAAACTCCCACAGGACACAAGGGAATCCTGGCATATAAATTATTTTATATTATATTTTTTTAACCACCACTCAAAAATTAATTGCAAAAATTAAATGCGATTAATTGCACAGCCCTACTTATTATTTCACTGTTATGATGACGTAACTATCATTCATTATCACATTTACTAATCAACTCTTTTTCAGTCCATCTAGGAAAACTATGGCAGTATGCGGAGGTTAACTAATCATAACAAATGCTATTTATGCATCAATTAACAGTAATATGGCAAAAAAAGTCAGCTTAATACTAATGGTCAGCAAGAAAGCTGTTCAAGAAACTTTGTCTAACATTATAATTAGACTAATAAACCCCTCAGACTGCATGTGCTCACAGGTCAGGGTGTGTGTGTGATGACCAGCAGATGTCTAGAAGCTTCAGCTCTATTGATTGGTGGGGAGGGTCTCTGTCCATTGTATTAAAAGCCATTCTGACCTGAACTTGTACCTTGTACACCAAACCCTTTCCAGTAACATTGTTTTTTTTTCTTCAGAAAACCTGTATTTAAAAAAAAAAAATATTTAATTGTATTTTTTATTTAATTTTATTATTTAATTTAATATAATTTTTATTTTGTTTTGTGTTTTATTTCATTTAAATGTATGATTATTTTATACATAGTTTATTTTATAACCACTACTGAAGGACCACTCCACTACACAAATATTTTTATGATTTTTAAATGTATAAAATATTAATTGTAAACCAAAACGTTAAACAAAATATTATTATATATCTAATATTATAATATTAGGCTACAGACATTATTACTACCATAAGTTATTTAAACACATATTTAAAATAGATGTGTAAAAAGACTGTAAAATAAGATGCTTGAAACAGATGCAAAGGGCAAACCGAAAACTCCCACAGGACACAAGGGAATCCTGGCAAACACACCGAGCTCCCTTTGTTTGTGTGTGTGACACACCAGTCACAGAGATTCACATATAAAGATGATAAACTGGAAAACACTGTAAACGAGAATGCTGATTTATAATCAGTGGCATTTCAAATAATCCTTAAAAATAGGGGTCGACCGATTATCGGATATTAAGCATTTTTATGATTATCGGTCATTTTCAAAACCGATTTGCCGATAAAATAACTTAATTTTGAAATGCGCTATTTGGTATTCTCTGGCAGCAGGAGGTGCTGTTAGAGTGGTAGAGATCAAGGTTTCCCCAGTAACGACTGTACACAAAGCAGCGCTCCACTCACAAAGGCTGCTTTATCAGATATTACATGCAAGTCAAAGCCTTTTGGAAAATCTATTTGTGGCAGTCAGTTTTGATATTGTGGCGGGGGCCGCAAAAAAAACA